CCAGGGTTCTGAGTCTGTCGTGAGAAGGAGGATCGCTGCCTGCACACTCTCTCTCTCTGCCCTACTTTTAAACTTTTTTCCTAGAGTGTGAGGAAGGGAATTGTGTTTGGTGAATCGGTCAGAGCGAATCCCTGACTAGATGTGACGTTGCATTCTCCTGTATCATCTGTCATAACTTTTGGAAGCATCAAGCTCACTTGAAGAAAGAGTCACTGTCTTTCCTAGCGATTTTGGACACCACCGAGTGTCTCCGATACTCTCTTCTCACACACTGGGCAGTTGAACGATGAAGTAAGAGCCATTCAGAGGAACATTTAGGAAAACAAAGGTCACTTATTGTCCCTAAGGGGGAAGATCCTGTGAATATATGCTGGAATCACAACTCCCAGTTGTCCATTCTGATTCATGAGATAACCCTACAAGAAGTCTTTTATTTAAAAGCCAATAATCTGTTTTACTGATCACAAACGAGAGTGGAAAACAGAAACACACTCAATTCCTGAAAGGAAAAAAGGTCCTCCCAGGATGAGCTCATGGGCGGCACGAAGCGAGAGGAAAGGCCTTCTGCGGCAGTTGTCAGGTCTTATCTTGCCAGAGTGTGACAGCATCTGGAGGAACACGTCTGAGCGGCTTGACCTCTCGTGGTGGAGTAGTTACACAGTTGTTTGCACATTCCTGTTTTGTAGTATGCCTAGTATTTCAGGAAAATGTGGATATGGATTCGTAGATAGAGCAGTCATGGCATGGTAGATGTTTGGTAGATTTCAAATTAAATATTTGACGTCCTAAGTTCAGAAAATTGTGAACAAGCAGGGAACCTGCTTGTGGAAAGCTCCGCCTGAGTGGAATCTCTGTGTGTGGGCACCGTGCTGTCGAGGGGAAAAGATGGGCCAGGCTCGGTGGCTCTGGGAAGTTGTGAATGGGTTCCTAATTGCCACCCGTGTCTTCTGTTTTTATCCTGCTTGACCCCTGGGCGTCCTGTGAACGTGTTGACCACTCCCCTTTCCCTTAGCCTGTGTGGAAGCCCCCTTCCCGCGGTCCCCTAGGCCTCTGGGCCATGTGCTCCGTGTCCTTCCCATTCTCACGCTCCCCCAGGAGAGTCTCATCCAACCTTCTGGTCTGAACTTCTGTCTGTGGGTTGCTGCGGACAGACCTGCACCCCACACACCAACCTTCTCAGTCCAGGCCTGTTGCCAGCTCCCCGCCCACCTCCCCTCAGAGGTCTCTCTTCCTGCCTTTCCTGTTGCTCCCTCTATCCCAGTCTCAGTCCAGCCTCCTGAGAAGCCTTCCTGAAACCCCTGACTGTGTGAGGGCAGCCAGGCAGCTAGCCCAGCCTGACCCCCACTGTTATTAAGGCTTTGGTGAGCCAGGGGCAGCAATTCAGTGAGAGCCTGTCTCTAAATAAAATACAAAATAGAGCTCGGGATGTGGCTCAGTGGCCGAGTGCCCCTGAGTTCAGTCCTCAGTATACCAAAAAGGAAAGAAAGAAAGCAAGCTTTTGTGAATCTGGAAATTCTGACATTTTATGTAGGAAACTGACATTTTGTAAAAGAAGACATTAAATTACTTTTAGGACTTGGTCATGAGATACTCAAGTGACCAAGTGACCTGGGACATAAGGTTTTTGCACACTTTCTGTCCTGGTACAAGGCCTTGTGCAGAATCTGCCCTGGAGCATAATGTGATGCCCAGAGCCACTTATCCAGGTTCCCGTAAGCCTGTGTGTAGACAGTGAAACCTGAAGTGTGGGACCACGTGGGTGTGGTGGGCGTCTCCCTTGCCTAGAGTGTGACAGCTGGTTGGCCAACACAGGAGCTGATCAAGAATCCCAATATCTGCCCAGATGTTAAATACTCGTCAAGCTTACTGCCTGCATCGTGCGAGGAAAAGTAAGTAGAAATTCAGTGTTGGCAGCAGTTGAAGGATATAGAAATCACAGTGTCCCAGGCAATAGAAACTACAATTCTTCAAAAAAACAACAAAAAAAATTTCAACTTTTTTTTTAACCTGTTCCAACTTTTGATGTATAAACGCATCTCATACCTGAGTTGCCCACATGTGCCCTTTATCTCCTGATAGCAGAAGATAAGGTCTGTCTTTGGCCAAGAGGGTAGTACTAGTTCTAGCTAAAATCTTTTTTAAGTTTATTATATTTGTTAAATTTAAAAAATGGGTAATTCATAAAACTTCTCAAATCACATCTCCGTTCCTCACTCCACTCCCTTCCTACTCTGATGCTTGTTCCTCCTGAAAGTCTTTGGCCTGAAGAAGAATAGTTTGCACATTATCTAATCACTGTGGCGTCCCTCCACCCTCCCCACCAGTGTCTGCATATCTGTGTCTCAGTATTGTTTTAACATTTGGGCCTCTGCCTGGGGAGTGGGTGGTTCACTTTAAGCTACCCTACTCCAGTCTCAAGCAATATTTTGTTATGAGGTTAAGTTTCTAGCCAGGCTTTGGCCAAGGCCTTTCCCATGTGGGAAGAGGAAAGCAGGAACAGCCAGCGAGAAGATAATTCTCCTTGAATTTGAGCTCATTAAAATCTTCACTCTTCCTGGGTGGATTATTTATTGATGGAAGCATCTAGCTAGTACTCTTCCTTTCCAGAAAGAATTAGCATCTACAATGTGATCATTGCTAAGGGAGGGGATTCTTTATCTTTTCTCTGTGGGGATCAACTGTCCCCCAGTTGCTTATTAGCACAGACCACTTTGGAGTTGTGTATGGAGTGAAGAGGCTGGAGTGAGATTGCTGAGATTTATAGGTAATGAAAAGAACAGGTTGTATCTAAGACACCATGTGTCAAAACCTAAGTGTTCTTAGGGGACTCGTGTGAACCTGCAGTCCTTGGCATTTTCCAACGTGAACATTTCAGCATTCTTTCTATGCACCTCCTTTTTATAGAGGCCTTAACATGTTCTGGTTTTGCTGCTCTGGTGCAGGACAATCTAGCAAAGTGGAGTTTCTCATCTGCTGATCTGCAGCAAGCTTTAAACATCCTCGTTTCTTTTGAGGATTACTGGAGTTGAACTTGACAGTGAAAAATACACTTTTGAAAACAGATGTTTAAAATCCTCTCCCACCAGAACCCCCCCCCAAATATAACATCACCTAAAAGTCTAGGTGCTTTTCATATCTCTCTGTAGAGATGGTGTGCAACTTGAATGGAGCAGATTCCTGGGGAGATTAGCTGCAAACGTAGTGGAGTTTGGCCATGTTATGACCCGGTAGCATAGAAAAAAAATGGTTATTTAGGCGAATGTTTTGAAAAGATTTTCTCCTTTCTTTTGATGGTGAATAATCTCTAGATTCAGTACAATACCATTTCAGTGTGTTCTTTTGCTTCTGGGGCTTTAATAACCTAACATGCTCAAAAGTAATCGTGATTTTCTCTATTTGTATGAGCAAACTGACTGCATATTTTCCAGCTGTTACCTTCAAAAAGTAGACTTTACCCACTATTATATATAATTATAATGCACCAACCAAAAACATTGGCTCTATTGACCTTATGAAAAGACACACATTTAAATTGTTCTCCTGCTCCTTAAGGGAATGTGAAACTAGCCTTGATCTTGGGTTCTTTGTTCATAAATCAGGTAGGACTTGGGCATCTCTATCCCCTCCTTACCATCTCTTGTTCCAAGGTTCCTGTAAGACATCATTTACAGCTGAGGATGTAGCTCAGTGACAGAGTGCTTAACTAGCATATGTGAGGCCCTGGGCTCAATCCTTAGGACCACAAAGGAAAAAGACATCACTCGATGCCTTCTCTGGCCCAGTGTTCAGAATTCTCAGCAGAGGAGCTAGTTTGTTTCCCTAGACCTTCAGGGACCAGCTAACCCAGCTGAGAGTGCATCTGTGCTGGGTGGTTGGGAGGTTGGGTAGTGGTAGTGGTGGTGGGCACATTTTAGGGTTTTGTCTTCTGGTCCTCTAAATGCCTCATTCCAGAGACTCTAGTCAGTTGCATGGCAGTGACATCCGTGGAAAAGCCAGTGGGGGTTGGACCATCAGCACCGGAGAGTAGAAGGCAAGCAGCTTTCCTCGTCTCCCTTAGAGAGTATCTCCAAGAGACACAGCACAGACCCGTGGGCATGTCAGCTCCGTGAGCCTCTGTTTCCTTGCCCACTAAATGAACATAGGAAGTAAAGCCAACCTCACGTACGTGGGGAACTCAGTGAGATGGTACATAGGGCACCCAGCTGACCTGTGCAAATTTAGCTGATATTCTTTATTCACCTTTCCCTCTATGTGTGGACCCGTTTGGAATTATCCGTTACTCTGTGGTTCCTGGACCAGCAGTTCTTGTAACATCAGGAGTAGCCTGTTAGCCTGTTCTAGAGGCAGCCTCCTGCCAGCTGTGTTCCTGCAGTGCCAGTTATCAAAATGCAGGATGGATGTGCTAGAGGCGTTCTGTAGTAGTGCTTACATTTTTTCCTCTTTTTCAGACAAAAAAAAAAAAAAAGTAGCTAGATGAGAGGTGAATTTGGGCCTCAAGGAAAGTGGGATTTTCTCTGGCTCCTGAGGGTCTTTCTGGTGGACATAGTAGAAGTCCATTAGGGACAAATCTTGATGCTGCCACTGTCCAGGCGAGCTCTGTGCTGGTCGGACTTCACCATCGCAGCCCCTGTTTTCCTCCTGAGGCAGAGCCAGGATGCCACTCTCGTCCACCCTTCTTTCTCTTTCCTGTGGCCGTCAGTAAAGGTCCATCCTTTGGCTTGATATTGTGGTCAGATGATAACGCTCACAGCGTGGATGGCCATGTGCCCACCATGAAGACACCCTTGCAGTTCTGTTTCCTCTCCTTTGTAGGATGCACTGGGCTGGTTCGGTTCGCACTAACATGCTCGAAAGGAGTTACTCGAGGGATTCCACGTCTGGGGTTTGGAACAGAACTCTGGATCTGTGACTGTTGTCTGTTACATTCAGCGATTCAGCTGACACCAGCGGTTAGTCATGTCTTTGTGCCATGATAAAAACATTTCTCTTTTTCCTTTTAGCTTCAAGAGGCTGACATTGTGGTCTTGGGCTCACCTAAGCCAGAAGAGATTCCGCTGTCTTGGATCCAGCCAGGAACCACTGTTCTCAACTGCTTCCACGACTTCCTGTCAGGTGAAGGTCCCCAGCGTTGGTGGGGGCCCTGATGAGGACAGAAGGAGTGGGGGGGGACTTGGTCTTGCAGAGGAGCATGGTGGCAGTCACCTGAATCCCAGCTACTTGGGGGGCTGAGGCAGAAGATGCAAGTTCAAGACCATCTTCAGCAAGTTAGCGAGACCCTGTCTCAGAAAGAAAGAAGGAAGGGGAGGGAGGGAGAGAGGGAGGGAGAAGAAATAAAAAGGGCTGGGGATGTAGGTCAGGGCCCCTGAGTTCAATCCCTCCCCTCCAAAAGAGTGTGTTTTTGAGGTGCTGTTATTTTATTAAAATTTATATTCGGAGTAATTTGGACACAGTTTTGGCTGGAGATGGGTGAATCTACTTTCCTAGATTTTTAGATCTGCTTTTCTACTATAGATCTAATTTTTCTACTATTCTTTTAGCATTCCTTTAAATTCTATTATATGAAAGTGGCATATGTTTTCTTTAATGAAACTGCCTTAATTTTAATAACATTTCTTTTTAGAACTCTTTATTTTTGAAAAAGGTGTTCCTAAAAACAGTAGGTTTCAATATCACAATGGAGGGGGGCGATGTTCAGGAGCGTAAAAGACCAAAGCCTTCTATTTCAATTGAATGATTTCATAGTAGTTAACTTTAAATTTTAACTGGTCTGTTAATTTTACGTGGAGTTTTCTTGTTGATTTTTTTTAATGCCCAGGGCCTAAAATGGTACCTGACACATAGTAAGCTCTCAGTCAATGTTGGCCTTTGAGTGAGTGAGTAAACATGGACTCCGCATTAGAGTCTGGCTGTAGTTTTTAAGTTAGACATTTCGGAGAGGTTTCCCTGAACTTGTCCCCACTTCAACACAGGGCTGACAGGGCAGCTGTGGAGACAAGGTGAAAAGTCCCACGCTCATTATACAGGTGGACAGGTTCCAAGTGCCGTCCATAACAGCACTGCATTTCTTCAGAGTTAGTTTCACCTTAGTGACTTGGATTACTATGAAAATTGAACCTAGGAGTAAGTTATTAACAAGTTTCCTTCTCCTCCTGTCATACTCTTGCCACTCTAAACAATGAGTAGGCTCTTTGAAACTTTATGAAAAGGAGAAGTGTTTTCGTTTAAACTTAAGACCAGAAGAACTTTTAATACCCTTGTGGCTGAGTGAAAGCCGCGTTTCGTGATGAGATTTTCATCTCGTCCTGATGGTACAGGGTCCCTCCTCCTCTTCTTCCCCTGTGTGAAAATAGACGGGACCCGGTGATTTATGGCGAGGTAATTCTGCAAAGGCATGTTATTGAATATCTAATCCATGGAGAGATTTTCCTGATGGCTGATGTCCCAGAAGTAGTGCTCAGAAAACAATTACACCCCACGTTGGGTCTGATCATTCCACTGTTGCACGAGCTGAATGTGTAGATTTTAAAACAGGGGAAATGTCAGTGATCTGTTTTCTAGCTAAAAGAATAATTACGTCTTTTATTACTGAAAATTGTTTTAAGTGGAAGAAATGTAGTGTGATCTCGGAACGGCTTGCTTGTTAAAGAGGAGAGCCCACCCTAAGCAAGACCATTTGGTATTTCCAGTACGAGGCCTTATGACTGACGGACCTTTCGGAACAGGGAAGCTGGTTATGTCTCAGGCCTAGAGAACAAAGTCAAAACAGCAGCCCGGGGGTTCAGAGTGCTTCACGGCCTCATTTTAAGCTAACCTAGCTGTTTTTAGTGTGACATCAGGGAAGGACCATGGGTTGCATCCCACGGCTCATAGTAATGGACTATAGGATCCTGAGGGGCCTTGGGCCTTCCTTTGTGTGAGAGAAGAGAGAGAGAGGAAAGAGCATGGATTTTGGAGTTAGGGCTTCCAGACTTAAAGCAAACAGCATTGGTGCCTGGGCATGGTGACACCCTATAATCCCAGCTTCTTGCAGGGCTGAGGCTGGAGGATGGTGAGTTTGAGGCCAGCCTAGGTGACTAAGCAAGATTTGTCTTTAAAAATAATAATAAAGGGGCTGGGGATGTGGCTCAAGCGGTAGCGCGCTCGCCTGGCATGCGTGCGGCCCGGGTTCAATCCTCAGCACCACATACAAAAAAAGATGTTGTGTCTGCCAAAAACTAAAAAATAAATATTAAAAAAAATTCTCTCTCTATCTCTCCCCCCCCTCTCTCTCTCTCTCACACTCTCTCTTAAAAAAAATAATAATAATAAAGGCTGGGATTGTGGCTCAGAGGTAGAGTGCTTGCCTAGCATATGTGCTGGGTTCGATCCTCAGCACCACATAAAGTAAAATAAAGACATTATGTCTGCCTATAAGTAAAAAATAAGCATTTAAAAAATAATAATAATAAAAAAATTCTAGGGTTGTAGCTCAGTAGTAAAATACCTGCCTGGCATGCTGAAGACCCTGAGTTCAATTCTCCCCCACACACACACACACATAGAGTTGGTTTTTTGTTATTGTTTTTTGTTTTTAAAACTGAATTACATTACAGTTATAACTGTGTGACTCTGAGGAAATCACTTGAGCTCTCTGTTTTTCAATGTCCTTGTGGATGAAATGGAATCAAGGCAGTTGGGAGAAATAAATGAGATGAGATGATACCTCAATTGTACAGTTCTTCTTTCATATTAGCTGCCAGTAAACATCAGTCTACTTCCTCTGTTCCCCTCTGCCACCTCACTCCTGCCTGCTCTCCAATATAAAACAGCTTTCAGATTTTGGTTCAGCAGTGTATATGGTTCTCTTTGAAAAATCATGCCCAAAGAAGTCCAGTGAGATTCTGAATATGTAAGAAGTTTTAGGAATTAGCATGCTTATAATTTAGTCATGATCCTAATGCATTTGGAATAAAATAAGGATATTTTCTTATAACTTTTGAAATTTGATTCTAAAATCTATTGTATGTGTTACCTGCTTTCCTTTATTTTTTCTAGAAATCCTAGGTATTTTGGATCTACCCCTTCAATCTATTGCCAATTTCCATGTCAAATGTTAATTAGTTCTAAATAAAATATATCTAATTTTTTCCTCTTTTTAGAATATGCAGCCCTGTGTCCGTTCCTTCTCAATTTGGTTTCAGTCATTCCAAAAGGCTTGCCTATATATGTTGACACTCAAATTTTAATTATGTTCCTTTTTTCATTTCTTAGAATATATAGTTTTTAAAAAGTGTAACATACTGCCATTCAGTGGTGGGATTCAGGTGGTATGAGCTAGGAGGGCAACTCTTGAGGGCACTGTCACAAAATTACTCTAAATGACTTGTACTAATTTTATCTATTGCATGTTACCTTTTTATTTTACAACATCAGTATATTTAACAGAAAAACCAATCAACAGTGTTTTTCTAAAAAGTTTTATCTGTATTAATTTCTACTTTCCAGTTCTTCTTGATTTTAAAACTTTGCATACATATTTCAGAATCACTTGCCATCCCAAATAGGAAAAAAAAAAAAATTTTGCATTTGATCTTTGGGTCCATGGAGCACTTTTGCAGTAAGAAGGGTGTCCTGGCCAGAGCTGAGCTCCTGTCGTATAGCAGAGGGGACAGGAAGACCAAAGATTTCCCTCGGCTTCCTGCACTTCTTCCATTCTGCCAGACTTCCTAGGGTGGTCACATCAGGGAAGGGACTGTTCTGACTTCTAGGGACAGCATAGCAGTGAGCCTTACATGTTCCTGTTGCAGAAAGTTTGGTTATCATGAGAATATTGTAAATGAAAGGCTGTCTTTCCAAGTGATTTCATTGACTTTTCCTGGGGAACCATGAGTTAAAGGACAGCATTTAATGGGAAGTGGAGAGACCCATCCATGACTTGAGAAGGGACCCCTGTTGCACTCTGGTCCCCCGGTGCCTCTCAGGCCCAGACTGTAGACAGCTTCCAGGTAGAGTCCCGTCTTCACACAGGCAGGGGGCTGAAATAATGATTTCCTTTCTAAAGTCTTTTTAGCCTTTAAGTTCACTGAGAATGTATTCCTGACTCCCGAGTTACAACTCTTAATTGTTTCTAATTCATTGGATTCAGAATTTTAAATTCAGTTTTATGATCGCATCGAGTCCTTCTACAAAGGCAATGTTTGTGATAGGAAATTGGCAAAATACAGATTAGGACACAGAAGAAAATAAAAATAACTTTTGATCCCATCACTGTCAGATAACCGTTTTACCTTTTTTTTGTCCCAAAAGGTCAAATTAGTATAAACTAATTTTATTTGAATGTAGAAAAGGAAAATAAAGCAATATGGTACTTCTAAGTCATCGTTATTTTTAATTACGTGGTTTTTAATAAGTCAACCATTAACTTAGCAAGTAGCAGACCTTTATCTACTGTGCATGAAAATCAGAGGCAGTGCTGTTTGGAAGCCAAGTCAGCTTCCTCTGGTGTCCTGAAGATGTCCCCTGTGTCCATCCTCTTCTGATACATGTTGACTCTGAGCTTTGAGCTTTTCCAGGGGTCCATGAGGAAGAAAGAGTTTTTACACAGTCGTAGTCACTGGATTCCATTCATGTTGGGCTTACAGTTTCCTTTATGCTGGTTTCTCATCCATCTGGTCATAGTTGCTACTTTCACAAATTTCTTGTGGCTTCTGGTCCATTCGTGGCACCCTTTTTACTGCTCTGGATGCATTTCCTTTGAGTCACTCCAGATGTACTTTGTGCTGGGAGGAGAGAGGAGTGTGGTGTGTGCCATCCGCCATCTTGGGCTGGAGACTTGACGAGGCTCGGTCTCGTTTGTTGGCTCTATTCCTCACGCAGCTCATCCTACTTGTTGAAATCATTTGTGGGATGGTTTAGACATCAGCAATCAATCATTCAGCTTTCAAAGTAGTGTATTCTCACATTTGCTAATAAGCTCCATATCATTCAAGTGACTGAAATTATAGGAGGAATTTTTTATTGTGTAACTGTGTAGATGAAATATTCTTCACTCACATGGGTATTTGTGATTACGTTCTTGGAACATGCATTTATAAATTGATACCAACTCCTGGAATGGAGCTTTGCCTTATTTCTCTAGCACTTAAAGACAGAAGAATGAGAAAAGCATATTTCTTTTCCATAATAGATGGACAAGATCTTAAGATCAGATCTCTAGGGGTTAAAACAAAACAAATCTCTCTCATTCTCTGACTTTTGTTTTTGCCTAGATAATGATTTATAAAACTGAAGTGTTGCTAATCTTTAAACAATACCTGAGGGACATGATTTTCCAACACCCTTAATACATCTGACAATAGAACATCACAAAACACGTACTTTTAAGTGTTTTTTTGTGCTTTCTTGCACGGACTGTCAGCAAAGTGGATAATTTAAGAGTAGAGTAGTCCAAAGAAAGAAGACAATAGTTTCTTAATTCAAAAAATTGCTGTTAAAAACCTTTCTTTCCTCTAAGGAAGGATGTAGGCTAAAGTATTTTGCATGTGTGTTGTTTTCATAAATTTTGCAAGTGATAACTAAGAAGGGAAAAGTAGTATTCTTACCAGTGCCTTTCCATTTTGAAAACCCCGATCTGCAGGCTACGCTGCCTCTGCACTAAGTATTGCAAATGTATGCTGTGAATTGTCCTGAGTTACTATTGTATTTATATCTCTAGTAATGCTCTATTTGGGAAAAAAAAAAAAGAAAAGTCACAATATGATACTTCAAGTAGTTTAAAGAGATTGTGTGCCTAGATGTTTCCCCCTGGTTCAGTGTGAGATATGATTTCCCAAGGCCTCAGGTGCTTTGTTAAATCACACCTCTGTTTATCCCAGTTAATAGCTTAGAGGGACATTTCTCTGATGTAAAATACACTGGAACCCAACCAAGATCCTCAAAGCTGTGCCAGAGGTGACTCACCTGCAGCTGCGCCCTGACCTCCTGACTTCCTTGGTTGCAAAATGAGACCATTATTCAGTGCGCTGGATTTTTATAAGGAACATTGGTTGTAAATGACAATATGCTGAAAGTCTTTTTTCCCCCCCTTTAATTTTTTTACAGGGAAGCTTAGATGTAGTTCTCCAGAGGTACATGTTAATGGGCTCATTGCAGAAGATGATGTGGGTCTGCTCGCTGCAGCTCTGCGGATTCAGGTTTGGTTGGCACCAATATTTGAGCATTTTGAATGTGGAGCTCTGTTTAAAAGTTGATAACATTTTTCAGATATTTTTTGTTTACCAGTTACAGTGCTAAACCCTTTATATACTAGTGTTAAGCCTAGTTGACAAATGAGGAAATGGAAACTTATAAAAATTAAGTTACTCGCCTATAACACATGATGTGTTTGAGGCAGGGACCCAAATCTGGGTCTGTGTTTTAGTTATCTATTACTGTATGGTACATTATCCCTAAAATATAGCAACTTAAAATAACAAGTATTAATCATCACATTTCTGTGGGACAGATTGGGGAGCAGAGTAGTGGGTGGCCCCCACTCGGGATCTCTCAGGCAGTTGTAGCCTGGGGCTAGAGGATCTGCTTCCAGGATGGAGCAGTCATGTGGTTGTTGGCGTGTGGTGTTTAATTCTTCAATGGCAATTGGCAGGAAGCCTTTGCTCCTTGTCACATGTACCTTCCCATAGTGCTGCTCACAGTGGGGCAGCTAACTTTCCCCAGGATGCACAGTCCAAGGGAGAGAGCAAGGAGGAAGCCAGGGTGTGTTTTATTGATCTAGTTTCTGAAATCCCACACTGACACTTCCTCTTTTCCTGTTTGTTAGAAGCAAGTCACCAAGACTATTCCCTAGTCAAGGGAAAGGGAACTGTGCTTCTCCTAAAGAAAGGATAGGAAAAAGTCTGTTGACATCTTATTAAGACACACTACTGTCTATGTGACCTAATGCCCAGGCTCCCCAGCTCTTCACTGTGTGAGCTGAGTGTTCCTATGACACAGGCCTGCAGCAAAGGTGTCTTGCTGATGGGGGCGCTATGGAGCAATAGAGAAGCCTGAGGCGCTAGTCACTCCTGCAGAGAATAAAGCAGAAGCAAATTTTAGTTCGTGTCTTTTTTTACCTTCAAGGTGATGCACAATTAAAACTTTTACGTTTCTGTTAGGATTGTATGTTATATTTCAACTAAAGCCAAATTTCATTTCTATTCATTTTATTTTTACTTGACACCCGCACACATCCACACAAGCATATCTGTCACTATCTGACAACTCAGTTTCCTTGTTGTTCTACCAGCTACGTAAGGATGACATTTGAAATACCGTTGCACATTTTGGAATCTGAGCATGCAACCTGATCAGTTGATGCAATCTTACATTTTCCTCATTTGTTTTCCTAATCAAGATGAAGAATCCATTCCATATAATTATATCTGTATACTTGAGGTCTTTTGTGAATGCCTAATCTATTTTAACAATGCATAGATCTCACATTTTCCCTTTTTAAGCAAAACCCACCAGTTTCATTACGCGTGTGAATACAATCATTGCTAGTGTTCTCTTGGATTATGGTGCAACTTTATGGTCCTGTTTGTTTGTGACACCCCTGGACACTATTCCCTAGTTTAAGCATGTGCCCTGTTGCTTTACCTCTTTAACATGAGTTTTCCTCGCTCCCTCCGGAAGAACATGGTCAACAGTGGAAGGAGGTGGCTTCGCGAGCAGCAGCACCGGAGGTGGAGGCTCCACTGCTTGAAGCTGCAGCCGCTGTCCCCTGTTCCAAGGTAACGCTAGAGTCCTGTTTGCACCTACATCAGCCCTCCAGAGTGACCTCGGTCTCCTGTTCACCACTGGCTGGGGCATGACTCTTGGTGTTTTGGTTTTGATGGTAGATAATTTTCTCTTATCCTTAAATCGCTTCAGTGTTTTCTCTACCATAAATCCTCAAAAATGAAATCACAGTGAACGTATTTACCATATTCTATCAGTTCTCAGAGCCCGGATTATTTCATTACACTCAATGACATGATCTATATTTTCTCTTCCTAGGGGTCCACAAAACAATGTTTTTTTTTAAATTAGACAAAATATAGTCATGCAGTCCTTTAAATATGCTTTTCAAGGCTAGAAATGCCTAGCACGGGGACAGCTTGGTCTTAAGGGCCAGAGTTGTATTTAATAAGATCTAAGCTACATATTCTCTTTGTATAAACTTAGAAATACAGACTGCAAGACTTAATCTCAGTATGTGATTTAGAATGATTAGATGTCATCATATCTGAGCCAGAGATGGGCATCTTCTGGCCTCAAGATGAGTCCTTGCTGCCACCCCACCAGAGTGAATTGGTCCTTAGCATCTGTCCGGGTATATCTAGGCCACCACATCCCCAGATGATCCTGCCCAGCACCGAGGGGATGCACAGAGTGTCAACTAGACAGAGCCTCCAGTGAGGATCTCAGTAACCAGTTGCTTTTCAGAATTGGCCTCTGTTCCCTTGGCAATCAGCTGAGCACTATGGCTGCATCATACCCACCCGGCTGGTGGAACTCTCCGGCTCTTTTCATGCCGGTGATAGACTAAACATCTCTGTTTTGCTCTGTGTTCATTAATACATAATTCCAATGAAGAATGTTATTCTTTGTAACATCATCCCTGAAATTATACAATGTGTTTCATGAACTTTCTTGTTATTGAAGTCATTGGTGAGTCAATAAATTGTACTTACAGAGAGCTAAGAAAGATTAAGACAGACTCCACCTAAACTGTGTACCACTAAAGTTTTTCAAAGTCAGTTCTACTTGGGGCAGGGGAAAAAAGTCATTTAATCAACTGAATTTGATTTCTAGAGCCACTGGGGAAAGAAAGGCAGACTGTAGTTTATAAGTCACTTTAAAAAAAATCAAAATTATGCCACTGTGGCTCTAGTTAGTGATGAGAAAACCACAGGGACTTTCCAAAAGTAGGCTGTTTAATTTAGGAAATGGAGAGAGGAGAGAGGCAGAAAAAAGAAGGGATAGCCAGGAAGACAAAATGAATGGGAGTCCAGAAAGTCCAGGTGAGAGAAAGGAGAACTAGAAAAGGACTAGGGGCCTGGGGAGGGGCTCGCCTGGGGTGTCTCCCCTCTCCTGGCTTCTCTGGTGCCCCTGGGAGCAGGTGGGATGGAGTCACATCTACTGTTCCCTCCTGGGCCAAGAGCAGACCACCTTGGAGAAGAATATAGGTTGGTTTGGGGACTGAAGAGATTTTCAGCACTGGAAACAAACAAAAAATCAGAGCAGAGGGGCCGCCTGCCCTGGAGGGGGTGGTCCACTGCCCACTGCAGAGAGACTGCTGTGACACCATTAAGGGCTCCAGGGTGAGTCACGGAATGGTGGTCCCCTCTTATGCAATCCTAAGCAGTTCCTTGACATCAGCTGTCCTGTGCCCAAGGCTCTGGGTCAGCCTTGCTGTGAGGGAATAGTTGTGCCTTTCAGTCAGACGATGGACAGCCCGAGCTGTGCCCGAGCACATGAACCCCAGCAGGCTCTCCTGATGGCACCCGTGCTGGTGTAGAGCGCTCCTCTTTCAGTAAAATCCAAGAGACAAGTCAGGTGCGCAGCCACAGGAAGGAGAGCTTTACGCAGTAGCCCTTCTCTTTGAGGGTCCCACCTACAGCTTTTTTGCTCTAATGGATTTTTTCTTGCAGAAGGTGTTTGCACACCTTGTACTATTACAGTTCTCCTTTCCCGGTGGCACAGGAGTTATCCTTGTACCTGGACACAGTTCTAGGATCTTCATGAGTCTAAAGAGTCACATCTAAAAAGTGCACCGCTTTTTTCTCCTGCACGTTAATTGCTAGCAGCTGTGCCCGGGAGAAAGGACACAGGCAGTTGCAATGATTTCCTTGTTGGCGTGGAGCGTGGTTGGCTTTCACTCTCACGTCGACCACCTAAGCTGAGAAGACTTTTGTGTTTCTTTCCCCCCAGTGATATCGAGATTTCAAGAGGACAGACTCCAAAAGCTGTGGATGTCCTTGCCAAGGAGATAGGATTGCTTGCAGATGAAATTGAGATCTATGGCAAAAGCAAAGCCAAAGTACGTTTGTCCCTGCTGGAAAGGCTGAGGGATCAAGCAGATGGAAAATACGTCTTGGTTGCTGGGTAAGACTGTGCTTGAAACTGCACTCAGGAGCCATGTTTGTCAGATTCTCTTCCTTTCTTATCGTATTCCTCTAATGAACCCTATCTCAGATTTGACATTAGTTTATCCATTGCACTTGATATTCCTTCATTGACATGGGATAATTTTTTTTTCTTTCTCTTTTTCTTTTTTCAGCGAAGAGCAAATTATCCCTGCCACAAAATACAAAGGTGTAGCAAGTTGCTAATGCAGTATTTAATTTTTTCATGTCTTACATTGTGCCATGATCCTCTCCCTGGACTGTTTTATTTAGTTTTACATAATAGAAATCAAAATAAGAATTGAAACTTATTTTGAACTGGGTGGGGGTTTTGGTTTTTGTTTTTGTATTCTCAGTAATATTTAGAGAAGGAGATACAGATAATCTTGTGAAACTTATATTTTCTTATCAATATTCTTGATGTTTCTTTTTTCATATTTATATTACAAAAACTTACTCTTTTTTCTTGAATTTTAAAACCTAACATTGGACTCTTTTCACTTGTTTTGAATATTTGATGAAAGACATTCATAGTGTTTGGGAAAAGGAGTGTTTGCTGTTTTTCCCCTTAAAAAGAGAAAACCCATTCACTAGCTAAAAAAATAATAGAAAACAAGAGATTTGGACAATTTATTTAGTGTGAACTGAGGGAACATCAAGAGACCCTGTGAATTCTTTCATTGTCTAGAAAGTTCATTGCATTGACTATTGCCTGTGACATACAGGCCAAGGCTTGAGGTGCAAAACCCATTTGTAAGGCAGACACATTTCTTGTAACTGGACTTGGCTCAGTTAACTTTGTTTTTATGTAATTATCAACGTGAGTCCTTTTATCTTTATATCTTTTTCTGATTATAAAAATGACACAGTGCCTTTATAGAATATTGCAGAAAAACAGAAAATTTAAACAAACAAACAAACCAAAAAAAAAAAATGTAAAACATCACAAATTCCACCCCCCAGAGGAGATGCCTGTCCATGCTGGGTCCCTCCGTGGTGTGGATAGACTCTTCCATAACTGAAGTGGCCCCACCTGTGCTGTTCTGCCAGCTGCTTCCTGTGCACCAGTGCACTGTGTACCTCGTCCCACGGGAGCAAATGTGGAGCTGTGACTGTTTTCTTGACTGCATAATAAACATTCCAGTGCTCACATCTGAGATTCTTAAATACATGGGGGGAGAGTAAAAATGCCTGGGATGGCATGGATTCCATTTTGCATGTTTTAACGCCTCTTGCTCCATGAGAAGCACTGGGGTAGCTTACTGTTTAGAGTATAGTGTGTTTCTAATTCTTCAAGGGCATTGAGGTGGACAATGACTTGAAAATATGGTAGGGATGTTCCACAGTCTTCTGCTCTACTGATGGGCATTTAAATGATTTCCAAATTTTGTCCACTGTCAGCATGCTAAGATCACAGCCTTGGCCATGCATATTTGTGCATTTGTCCAGTTATCTCCTTTTGAAAAATCCCTGGAGGTGAATTTAGTTACAGCAGTTCTCCTGAAATCTGTAGGGGATTTGTCCTAGGACCCCTTCAGCCATCCAAATCTTCAAATGTTCAAGTTCCTTCTAGGGAACAGCAGAGTCTTTGCCTATAACCTACAAACATTCTCTAATATTTTAAATCATCTCTGGCTCACTTAAATGTAATGCAATGTTCATGCTATGGCAGTAGTTGTACATTATTTAGAGAATAATGATCCCCCGAAGTCTGTGCATGTTCAATATGGACAGCCTTTTCTCCACGCAACCTGCTGCAGACCCTGGTTGACTGTGAGAAATATTCTCAGGCTTTCAGGCTCCCTGCACTTGGACTCCCAAGTTACTCTCCAACCCACAACCCCATCCTAAGGTCCCAAAACTGAACCTGAGGGGAGACGTTGGCTCTGGGCCCATCCCTGAGAGGAGCCATTCACCTGCCAAGAAGGACAGGGCATACCTGGCCCCAGGACTCTCAAGTGTGAGCGTCCCTCTAGTCCCTGTTACTTTTGGGGAAGTAACACTTAATGCAAGTTTTTCTGTTGCCATGAATAAACACTCGCTTGAACATTGAGATCTTTAAAAGCCTCTTGTGCGTGTATTTACTTCCCGTTTTCCAAGGCTTTGGTGATCTCTTGGTAGGTGAGTTTGCTGGTTTTTTTCATTGAGTTTTAAGATCAGAAGATTTAAAGAAAACTCAGGAGGCTGTGTTCTCAGTTTATTGAGGAAGACTCATAGAGCAATTTTTCTTGTGGAATGACTGTGATTTATCCCATTTGGGGCTTGTCCATTTTGGAAATAAAATCCAGACACGGCCCTGCCCTGAGCTAGGAGCGCAGAATTGATACATCTGAAACAAAAGCCATGATATGATGATGATGTTATCAGGTTCCTAACTTGGAGTCAAACTGCCAAGGCCCGGCCTCCATCCATCTGCTAGAGGATGCTAGGATGACCACTGGGACCAGAGCTAATGTCAGGCCAGTCCCAGAAGCTCATTGCTCTAGGCCAGTGTGAATGGGTCTAACTGGCCAGCATGCCAGATTTTAAGTAGAAATGAAAATTAAACATGATTTCTCCGAAGTACAGATTAAACACAAAAAGATCAATAGTTCTTTTTCTTTTTTTAAATTTTATTTATTTATATGTGCTGAGAATTGAACCCAGTGCCTCACACATGCTAGGC